TAGAATTTTACAGATTTTTAATAAAATTTAATATAATTTTGCTAATTTTTTTTTTTTATTTAGGTAACTTGCAAAATCTCTAAGTTTCTGCAATTTATAATAATTTTAAATTTTATTTTTTAATAAATTTTTTTATTTTAAAATTAATAATATTATTATTGATATTTAATTAGTTAAAAATAAATAAATTAGATAAAATCTAACATATAAAGACAATATATTTATTAATATAATAAATTTTAAAAATTTTTTGTTATATTATATATATTAAATCAATTCAATATTTTATGATAAAATTAAAATAATATTGCAAAAAAAAATTTAATCTAAATTTAATTTGGATAATTCAATTTTAAAAATAAAGTGAATATTCTGATGATAAATTAGAATTTGAATCAACTTTCTAGTTAAATGTTAACTATATATATTATTTTATAAAAATTTCTTATATAGAATTTATATTAAAATTTTTTGTTTATTTTATTTTTAAATTATAAATATTTGCTAATTTTTTTTCATATTCTTAAATAGTTTTAATAAAATTTAGTTAATTTCAGATTTTATCATATTAAAAGTTTTTGTTATATCTCTTATTATAATTTTAATATAAATTTATCTGAATTTTTACTATTATTAAGAGATTTATTATTCATCTATACTTTATATATTATATATATTTTTGGATTCTATTATAATTAAAAATAATAATTAAATTTAATAATTTATAATTATTTATATTTACAAAAAATATATTTTTAAATTAACTTAAAATTACTTTATTTTATAAATCTATAATTTAAATAAATTTATTTATAAAAATTATTATAAATATAAATATTTATATAATATATTTTTAAAATTATCACTTTAATAGTAAAAAAGTACAAATAAATTTATTAATAATTTTTATTAATTTTTATTAATTTTTAACTTAAATAATTAATTTTAAAATTTATTTGCAAAACTGTTATATATAAATTTTAAATTTAAAAGTTATTTTTTTTAAAAAAAAGAAGATATTAAAAAGATTTCTAATTATTATTATTATTTTTAATCTATTTAATAATATAATTCTAAAGTTTTAACTAATTAAGTTAATCAAGTTATTTTAAATTTAAATTTTAAAAAATTAAGCTAAATAAATTAAATTGAAAATTTTAATATTTTAATAATGTAATTTAAGTTATATTTAAAATTTATTTTATTTTAATTTATCATTAAACTTTATTAGAATATTAGTATATTTATTCTAAAGGAACTATATAAATATCAGATTTTTTAAAAAAAAATAATATAAATTTATAGATGAATTATTTTAATAAATGATAACAGTATTTTTCTTATCTATTTTTTAATTAATTTAACTAGCTTTAATTAATGTATTAAAAAAGAATTTAATTGGTATAGTTATTTACTAAATCAATAAAATAGTGTATTTTCATGAAAATCTTATCCTTGTTTTATTAACATAAGCCATCTTTTTGCCTACACTAAAATTGTAATTTGTTTTAAAATGTCATTGTTAAAGAATTATCACCCGATTAAGAAACACTTTCAACATATATGAAAGTAGTAATTCAAAACTTCACAAGGGTGTGTTAAGTGTCACTCGTCATCCAGAACACTATTATTTTATAAAAGAAATTTTTGCTAAATTTTTTTTGTAGGTTTTTTTTTTTTTTTCATAACTATATCAAGAACTTCTGGGTTGCACTGCCATTTCTTTCATATTGGAATTTTTAACCAACTTCAACGTTTACAGACTTGAGGCGTATACCCCTCACAGGCAAAGATGAGCACTGGATATATTGGGTCCAAGATCAGTCTCATTTCAAGGTCCGACATTCGTTATGTGGGCATTTTACATAGCATCAATTCAGCCGATTCAACTGTAGCTCTTGAACAAGGTTTGTTTAATTGATTTGCACTTTATATAAGGCTTTAAGTTTCTTTATGATAGTAATAATAATAATAAATAATGAAGCCAGTAAAAAAAGTTCCTTTACATCTCGAGTTCCTTTTTCTTTTTAAAGTCAGGTAGAATCATGAGTGGTTCTTTTTAATATCATTAATTACAAAATTAAAATAGTAAAAAGGTGGTTCATTATTAAAGGGAGAAGGTAGCAATACATCATTAACAATTATCTAAAATATATATATATATATTTTTTTTTTAGTTCGCTCTTATGGAACGGAGGGTCGTCGAGGCAGTCCTTCTGAGGAAATTCCTCCTTCCGACAATGTTTTTGAATACATTGTATTTCGTGGTTCGGATGTAAAAGATTTGCATGTTTGTGAAGCCCCTGCTCAACAACAATCTTTACCTCCTCAAGTTCCTAACGATCCTGCGATTCTTGGGGTGAGAGTTTTGTAAAATTTGGTTATAATGTTAAAAAATCTATCAAGGATGGGTCTTTTCTTGTCAAGCCCTATCTAGATAACGGTCGTTATTTGTCTGAAGATATGATGAAAAATCTTGGATATTATTTTGAATTACTGAATTTCATAATGTTGTTAATTCCATGTTGCCTTCCTACTGATTTCTCGATAAATACCGAGTTACAAACATTTATTAAAAAAAAAGAATATTTTTTTTTTTAGTACACTTTTCATAAATTATTAATATAAATTATCTATATTAGACTACTGCTCCTCGACCAACAAGTTTTCAGAGTTTTGCTCCACCAACAATTGGAGTACAACTCCCACCTAATCCACCTAATTTCGCTGGAGCACATCCGTTTTATCTTCAACAAGTAGCTGCTGCATCCTTTCAACAACAGCCACAATATTGGCAACAACCGCAAGTTCCTCAACCACAGGTGTGTTTTTTACCATTTAACAAAATAATTTTTTTGGTGCCTGCCAAATAAATGTTACTCATCCGTTTTTATGAGAAATTATTCATGAACACGAGTGGTCTTTTTTAATTGGCTAGCATAAAAAAAAATTTTTTGGCGAGGATATTTATCATCATTCTTCTTATTACCAAATTTGGAATAATTTGTTAAATTTCCGCTTGAATTTATCTTTTCTTCGTGGAAACGGTTAGCTGAATAGCAACATCTCAGAGCCCGCTGCCAAAGAAGCTGAACAGCCAAAGTCACAAATACAGGTCTGCAGTTTTGGCAGCAAAATTTACTCAATGATTAATTAACGCAGCTCCTATAAGGTCCATGTTTCATACCAAATACCTAACTCCTTGAATACAGAAAGAACATTCAGCACCTGACAAGGTTGAAGGGCCTAAACCGGATAAATCTACAGCAGTCAAAAATCTCGTCAAGACGGGCACGAGTTCACGGTCTACCTCTGTTACGGCGAATAATAGAAATAATGAACCTACTAAGGAAGTCCCTTCAACGTCCGCCGTCGAAGATTTGGCCAAGAAAGTCAGCGAAATTCATTTAACAACAACAAAAGAAACTAACGGTGAAAAACAAGGTTAAACCTGATTAAAAAAGTCTTTGTTTGTATATTGTTATTTTATTTGCACAACTTATTTATTTATATACAATTTATAGCTGTAAGTAACCATACTCGTTCCTCTGCTCCAAGCAATAATAGGCTTCCCGGTATGGGTGGGCATCTTTTGCAGCAAAATCGTAGAAGTCGTGGAAATCGACGAAATTACAATCAAAATTACGATCGAAACAGAATTCCTGTCCCTCAATCTGATTTCGATTTTGAATCATCGAACGCCAAATTTAATAAGGAAGAAATTGTCAAAGAAGTTGTTAAGAAAACTCATCCTCATGACCAAAAGGAGGAAGAAATTCTAGATGGACAAGGTGAAGAGGAAGAGGAAGAAGACATTTTGATACCACCTGCTGAAAGTTATTATGATAGAAGCAAATCATTTTTTGATAATATTTCTTGTGAAACCAAAGAACGTTTAGAGCAACAGGGTCCAGACGGCCGGTAAGACATTTATTAATCGAATTATCTTTGTAAACCCGCATCACTTCTAATTATATTTTGACTCTTAATATCAGTCGTAGTTTATCTGTTGCTGAAAGAAGACAAAAACAATCAGAAGAAAGACGGTTGAATCTTGAAACCTTTGGACAAGTATCTATCGATGGTGGAAGATATCGCGGAGGTTATCGTGGTCGTGGCTACCGAGGAAGCAGAGGAGGATACCGTGGAGGTCGCGGTGCAAGTGGTGGTTATAGAGGTGGCTATACTAGCAATTACCGAGGGAATAATTATAGGGTGAGTATTTTGATTTTATTTTATATATTTTGAGCATAAAGTTATTTCTGTTCATTTAAATTCTTTTGTTAATTTTTTCAGCAACAAATGCAACAATCATGAGTAAGAAAGAAATTAATTAAGAACGGATAGAACGAATAATATTTTATTTTAATGGCGTATTGTAATTTTTTTTTATGTTTGGGTTTTATTATTTTTATTTTAAATCTTGTGCCTTGATGAATTATCAGCTTTTTTTTTTTTTTTTTTGTTATTCATATCACCATTACCACTCTTTTCACTTTATAACCTACCCAAAAATTTTGGGAAATCTTTTTTTTAATATCTAATCAGAGATTTGTATAAAAGAAATTAAAGAAGCTAATATATATAATAACTAAAGAAGAAAAAAATATAAAATTTAAAAGAAGTAGAAAAGAAAAAAAGAAAGTTATATATAAGTAGGGTTTATATAAAAGGACGAGGGGGGGAAAAAAAATACTAGGTTTCATTTTTATCTATATAAAAGAAAAAAAAGTTGAGTTAAAGAATATTATTTGAAATGTATTTGTAGTCATTAAAACTGGTGAATGATTTTAATATGCAGATATCATGTTTATTTCTTTACATATATATATATATTGCAAAATATATATTTTTTTAAATACCAAGCATTGATTAATTAAAACTTTTGTTTATAGTCCAAATTCAGATTTGCGTGAACAATTTATTAAATTCATAACGTTAGCGAGAATATAATTAATTAAAAATCTATGATATAAATAAAAATAAATTGTACAAATTATTCATGAATTGATTGGACTCTCGTTTTCATTCTCATGTGTATACTACAAATGGATAATAAAAGGTTAGAGGTCAAAAAAAAGTTAATTTTAAAAAACTCGAACATACCTTTTCAAATTCTTTAGGATGGGCAGCCATTTCTTTTTGAATCAATTCTCTTCGTTGTTGAAGCCTTGTGGTCCTTCTAAATTCAGCATCTTTGAATACTTCATACTCTTGTTCATAATCTGTAATAGTTTGTGGAACTGGTGTTGGCACGTTTTGAGAATCAACAGCAACTAATTTCAAAATTACAAAAGAAGTTATAACAACATGAATAAAGTAATTTTGTAAAAAAAAAATATATATATATAAATCGATCTTACCCATAGTATAAAAACCATCGTTTGTAAAAAATCTTTCTCCTGTCATCAGGTTTTCTTAAAGAGAAATTATAAATAAGAAGGTCTAAATAACAAGAATAAACGAGTTCATCATGTAACTTACCAGCTTCTACAGAAACGTATACTTCCAAACTTGAATGAAACGTACAAGAAACAATTGATCGAACTGTTATACCTGTTAAAAATAATAGAATTATAAAGTTTAGTGATATCAATATCAAGGAAAAATATTATCAATATTATAATGATTATCGATTCATACAATCACCAACATATGTCGGTCTAATGAATTGAAGTGAGTCTATACTACATAATAATAAATGTAAAAAAAAAAAAATAAAATAAAAAAAATTTTTTTAATTAGAAAACTTGCTTTAAACCGCGTAGAATTCATTCATTATCAACCTTGCCAATAAAAGGAATCGTCTTGAATGCCTTGATGCGCTAACAAGGCAACATTGTTCCATCCATTTCATGATTTGACCACCAAAAGTAATCTTTCAATTAAATATTAATTTAAAAACGAATCAATAAAATACATATCATCAACAACAAACCGATCATATTTTATTGTTACCTGTAATGTGTTTGCATGTTGGGGTAAAACTGTTTCAACAACTTCTGCAAAACTTTCAGAACTACATTTTGTATCAGGCTGTATAGGAAGACCTTTAAGTGTTGACCTTCGTCGAATGAGATATACATTTGCGGGATCATTCGAATCGGCGCTATATGATTCAGGTTCTTGTAGAAGAGGTGGTAGTTCTGCCGTACTTTTTGTTTCCGTATTATGATGTTCCGACCATTTACGCAAAAGTTCCCTTAACGCTTCTAACTTATGTTGTTCACGTTGACCTTTATCATCTGTATGTTTTGATTTTGTTACACGTGCCTACAAAGAACAAAACATAAATGACTATACACATGACGCGTTCGGAATCAGTTTGCGTGAATCTCACCTGCCTTCTGATCTCTGCATAGTCAAAACGTTGCTGTTCAATCGGTGTTACTGGAATAATACGAGGAACCTTTGCGGTCAAATTACGATGTCTTCCGAGAAGTTTACCCACAGACTTTGAACTGCCACTGAGAGCAACAAAAGTCAGATATGCTATATATTATTAAATAGTTAATGAATTATAACAAAAACTAAAAAAGGTGAATATCATCAAATAAGAATATTACCATGACAGCAATACTTTCGCTTTCCTGTAATAGGATTTTCGGTTTCGACGCGAACGCCAACCTAGACAACGATAAAAGCATTAGATCAAAAAAAAAAAAAATAGAACATAGCATATGGAATTAATCAATTTACCTCCATCGAAGTATTCCATGCATGATTGACGCTAGCCTCTATTATAAGAAAATCACCAACTTTAATAGGATGCATAAAATGAACGGCATCAACACTTCTCGTAACCTGTAAATAATAATCATTTATAAATCCTTAAATCCAATTGAATTACGATTTTTAATGGAATTTAATTTAAGGAAAATACGCTTACACATGGATAGACGGCATGTTTTTTTGCAGAGTATCCTGCTGCAAGATCTATCCATTCCAAGATAACACCACCAAATACAAAACCGCGAGTATCAGCGTGTGAAGGTAAAACTATTTCTGTCATTGTTATCCTATAAATCAAATAAAAAAACATAATAATAAATTGATGATCATAAATGAACTTTGCTAAAACCAAGCTTTATCATTAAATTACCTTGATGAACATACTTCCTTTGTTTCTGGTACATTCCTCTCTGGGGGGGAAGCAGGTGGAAATAACAGCAAATTAATAGTTGAAGAGAGCTTATCGAGCCCTCCTAAAACTATAATGGATAAAAGCGCCACTATTATTAGAAGTAAAATAACACAACATGCTCCTGCTTCAGGAAGCCAATTCATAATATCCATTAGCATACAATTACGCGAAAATTTCTTCATGGCACTTTTTTTTTTAAGTTTACCGTTTGTCCCACCAACTTCCTAACTGGGTAAAGCTTAAAAAAACCATTGAAACGGAAAATCAGTCAAAAATTCTTTTTCCTTTCTTATTCAACCATGAGTTTAAATCCGATAAATGAAATTGGCGAATCGCCTCGATCAACAGTTAACTCTTTAAGTACGTCAACTACATCCTCAGCGTCATCATTTTCACAGCACCTTCGTGCACCTATTAGTACAAGTTTACCATCATACTCTTCTTCAGCTTCAACTTATGTAGGACCTGTCCCGGAAAGGGCAGAGATAGAAACAGGAACGTCCAATACATCAACTTCTACGGATGAAGTATGGAATAATACTCCTCAACAACAAAATCATAGTCTAAATCAAAATCTGTATCAAAATCATCAAAACCAAAGCCCAAATTTTCCTTTTGTTCCGCAACTTTATCGTACAACGAGAGCGACCTCATTTTCTAGTCGTAATACATCATCAAGTGCATCTTCAATCGTTTCTTTTTCCTCTTCAATGAACAATAATAATAATAATAATAATAATAATAATAGTAATAATAATCATATAACATCATCATCATTGATCCCACAGATGGAAAGATCACATTCAACTTCTACGATGTATTCGTTTTCTTCTAGCCCTTTTCATGAGAAATCACTTTCCACTGGATCGATCTCTGTTAAAGATAATAACTCAGTAACATCAACGCCGTACATACCACAAACATCATCAATTTCACATCATAAAATGAATATGGTTTATGATACACCTGTAACTTCAAAAGAGTTGGAAAAATTGGAGCAAGGAGGACAACAACATGATACTTGGGGATCATTGGTGGTAAAAGTCTTGCCGTTGTTTAATGGCGAAGGGTTAAAATTATGTATTGAGGATTTGAATGAGTTAGTAAGGTAAACAAGAGTTTCTCTTAACATTATGCTTAATTAGATATCGGCTCCTCACAATCCAATCTTATGTAATAGGCGATGTATAAGTGATAGGTCAACAAAATTACTCTACGAAGAAATAAACGAACTTCTAGAGTCGGGAATGTTTACGTTGAATGGAAAATTAATAGGTGTTCCAGATGAAAAATTGGTCTCTCGTTTGGTTGAATTATGGTCATTTTATTTTGGTACCGTAATTCCGTATTTCGAGGGAGTTTTTCTCCCATTACAAATACACAATTCTACTACACAACAAAACCACAAAAGTATTAGACGTTTGGTATTGATGAGTTTTCGGGATCATGTGATTTTGCCCATGGGCAATCGTGTCGAAGGTATTTTACTCGTGCGAATGGTTTTATTTTTCTACGCAAATAATGATGTTTCTTTGACTAAAAACGCGTTATTATTATTATTATTTTCCAGAGGCGTTCAATAAATTATTTCACGATTTCGATTCAGGTATTCCCGTAACAGATACAGCAACTCGTATGCTACAAATGTCATACATTTTATCATCAGTTCTTTCTGATGATGATAAACAAAGGGACATGGATAGAATTTTAGGTAAATTAAAAAATAATTGGAAATTATTCATGAGAAGAAGGGATAGAAGAGGTTTTGTTGGGATGTCTCCTTCAAATTCAAATAATTCCAATAATAATAATAATAATAGAAAAAGTATTGTGGAAGATTCGATAGCGAGCATTACTTCCGAAAATCTTGTTACCACACCAACAAAGTTATCTAATCCTACAGGTGACTTTCCTACCATCACTTTGTAAATTGATATGTTTAACGTTTCTATCTTGTAGAAATGTATTTATTACATCATTTTGATTTGTAAAAACAATTATTCAAATATTCGTGTATTTTTTTTTTTAACCGGCAAGCGGACTAATCATCCTATGTATAAAAATTAAATTAATAAATAAAGTAAATTCTCTGAAAATTTTCACATTGAATTGAAAAAATTTTACTTCATCAAGGAAGGTTTTGGTTCGCTTTTAATATAACCTATTATTGAAAAATAAAAAAATTCATTATTGTGATTGAATCATTTATCATTAGATAAAAATATATTCGAAATAATTTACCAAGGTAGAGTATGAACGGAATAAATCCCCAATGTACAATGGTTTTAGCAATTTCTGTAGCTTTGAGTATCTTTTCCTATTGAACATAATTAAATAGACAATTAACTTAATAAAAGGTTAGATATGTATGGTTTAATTTAATTAAGAACTATTCAAACCTTTGTTTCTTCGCGCATTGTGAAAAATATTATAGAAAGAAAAAAAATTGCGTCACAAATTGAAAATTTTTGCTAATGATCGAATTTTTTTTTTCTGAATGTCATGTGATATCCTTTTTTTTTTTTTGTATACCGAAAAGAATGCTAAATAAATTTATTAAAAAATAACTGAATTATTGATTTTAATTCTTTAACTTATATAATTTATCATGGTTTCATTGGCATCGTCCATTGTTCGTCGGCTCAATGGCTTACAACATATGACGAATCGTACAAGTATGAAATATTTCATTATCGATACTTTTTTTAAATTGGTTTTAATACGTTATACGCTTTCACTTTCTTCTTCCAAGCAGCTAGAATGAATTTTTATCAAATTTACGGAGCGACCACAAAATTCAATTTTCATTCTACATCGGTTTTTAAACAAGGTCAGAATCTTTTAAATTAAAGAATTTAAAGGAATCGTTATTTCATTTATTAGTCGGATTCGTATTTAGTTTTTTTTTTTTTATTTTTATTTATCAATTTTCTAAACAGCTGACTCTAAAACTAATGCAACAAAACAACATAGTAACGAATCGCTTCATGAATATGGAAAACATCTCTTATCCATGCTTCCGAAATATATACAACAATATTCGGTTTATAAGGATGAGCTATCACTTCACATTGCCCCTAGCGCCATTATTCCTGTAATGACATTTTTACGTGATCATACAGGTGCACAATTTAAACAGGTTATGGACATTTGCGGTGTTGACTATCCTACACGTTCAAATCGTTTTGAAGTTGTTTATAATATGCTAAGTCTTCGTTATAACGCAAGAATTCGGGTGAAAACATATGCCGATGAAGTTACACCTGTCCCTTCTATTACTCCTCTCTTTAATGGGGCAAATTGGTTCGAGAGAGAGGCTTATGATATGTTTGGAATATATTTCACTGATCATCCTGATCTAAGGAGGATCTTAACGGATTATGGGTTTGAAGGTTATCCTCTAAGAAAAGACTTTCCTTTGACTGGTTACGTTGAAGTTCGTTATGATGAGGAAAGAAAACGAGTCGTCGCCGAACCCTTGGAATTGACACAAGCATTTAGAAATTTTGAAGGGAGTGCTTCCCCTTGGGAACAAACAGGTAAGGAAACGTGATGCTAAATTCATCTCCTTTAATGTAATGAACCTTAATTGAACCATCCAATATCATATACATTAGGTCCTGGTCGTGATGATAGACCCGATTCCTTCAAAGTTGAGAATCTTTTACCAAAACCACAAGATTCAGAAAAAAAATAATGTAATATTGGTATATTTTATAATTTATTTTGAACACTTCTTGTATTTGAGAATTACTAATACAATATTAGTTAACCTTTCCATGTATCCCTTCGATATCAATATAAAATTCACCCCATTGTCTTGGTGCATAAGGAGCCATCATTAATGTGATTGTTCTTTGACATTTGTCTCCAATGCCTATTAACGTTCTATCGGCCCTGGATAACATGATCCTTGAATTAATCATATTTGACCACAACAATCCCAATGCAGGGATTTTCGAACCTTTTCCGACTAAAAATTGTCTCTGATAATAGTCATATTCCCAAAAATTGTCATCTTTATTTCCAATAAATTCCCTGATATCATTTTTAGAAAATAAATCAGAAACTTGATTGACACAAATCACTGGTAATCGAAACTGATCACTTATTTCCTTGAACTTTGTTCCTAATTTGCAAAGTTCTTTAGAGCGTTGGCGCAATATGGAAACGTCAGATGAATTATACGCAACTCTAAAGTTGGCTGCAATGGAATCGATTATCACCAGTCGTATCTTATTCCGAGAAAGTAATATTGGTAATTGTAGATGTAAAACCTGATATTGGGTGTCCAGATCAGGGACTGTAATGTATTTGATTTCATCTGACAAATTGACATCCTTCAGAATATCGTGTCGTTGCTTGAACAAACGAATCATTTGTTGCGTTCGTTTTATTAACATCTGGACATTTCCTTCGGTGGATATATATACAGCCCCTGTATCAATATAATGTTTTGATTTAGAGATTGCTTTGACCGTTAAGAACTTTGAAATGGAAACAAACCTCCTTCAAGTCCACCTAATTCTATTGGCATTTGAACTGTCAAACAAAGTTGAAGACACATTTGTGTTTTTCCAGCAGAGCTATATGATGTAATAATTGTTCCAAACATTATAATTTAAACTATTTTCTATATACTTCCTATCAAATATCTATTTACCTCTCACCTACGATTTCTGTAATTCCACATGACATAATACCTCCACCAAGGATTTTATCAATAATGGCATCACCGGTCGTTAGCATACGTTGTTCTCCAGAATTAAGCATTTTTAGAGCATTTGTGAGTGGGAACAATAGTGGACGTGTCTTTATTATTTCTAGTGCTATACATTGGAAAAGTTCTTTTACATCCTTTGATGATAATTTTAATTTCTTTGAAAGCTCCTTTTCACTACGATGCATTACATCTGACACAGTTTCAAATTTTGCTATAAATAAAATAAGTAAATAACGTGAAACCGCGCAGAAACGTGTATATAATTGGCGTTATTATATACCGTCTTTTAGGGCCTCCGCGATCCTTGGTCTTAATTCTATGTTTTTAAATTCCTCCATATTTAAGAATAGCGATAGAAAATAGTTTTTTATTTATTTTATTATATATTTTTTTTTTAAAAAAAAAAAAAATACGTTGACGTAAAACGCGTAAATTGAATCGACAACACGTGATTTTATATGCGATTGATTCAATTAGTTTCATCATTTTCTTCAAGTAGCGATAATGACGCCAAGAAGGATCGATGCACGTTTTGTTTCCGACGATTCTCGAATTCCAAACACCTATATCCAAAGTCTTGAACAATGTGTAGACCGTCTTCAAGACAGCTCGTTAAAGGTATGTTAATTATGCATATCAAAATTATTTGTATTGATAATTTAAATTTTTTTTTTTTTTTTTTACAGCTTCAAAGGTCTATACACAAATTAGAAAGTGGTTCTCGTGAATTTTCAAGGATAAAGAGATTGCTTGCTTGCCAAAGAGTTAGTTTTACACATTTTTGTTTGATAATTGTATTATATATATATTGTTCCAAATAATTCGTCATAATCCATGAAATAGGTATGTGAACTAGTGACCGAACCGGAGATACGTGATGCTCAAAATTCATTAGCGGTGCAGCTTGAACCTCGCATCAACGCTCTTTTATCAAAAGCTGAAGAAATATTACAAGGATTAGTAGAGAAGGATAATATGCTCCAGGAGGAGGTTTGATACTTTATATGGATAATGTTATGTTAATGATGACCAAAAAATATAACGCTGATCAATTCGTGAAAAAAGGTGGATAAGCGCGAGATTGAATTCGAACTGGAAATGAAAAAAGAACAATTAGAATCAAAACAAAATGAAAAGGTTAGAAAACATTCATCTCAAGCTCAACAAAAAAAACAACAAAAGGATGTAAAAAAAGAATTGATGGAGTTAAAGAAAAAGGTGAAAAGATTGGAGATAGAATGCGAACAGCAGGTATGTCATTCTCCGTTCTAATTGCAGTTTATGCCTTGTGATCGATAAAGACAGTTCGATATCGAATCAATCGTTGACACATAAATCGTTGAATTGATTAGTCTCAAGTTTTAAATGAAATAATTGAAGCTCAACATGAATTTGAAGATGCTTTCGAGGAAGGTAATCTATTGATGTTTTTATTTTTTTTTTTTGATGCAATAATTTATTCTAACGAGTTGATTATTTTGTATTAAGATTTGATAGAGGAGGAACAACTCGAACAAGCTTTAAGCCAAATTGAGATTGGATCCCGTGTGCAAGGTAAGGTTGATTCAATATTATCTATAGAATTTTTTTTTTGATTTTTTGATTTTTTTAATGCCCTCTTGTTCAACATTATTTGAAGATACTTTGGAGGAAGGTAATTTTCGATTGTAATATCTATCAGCAATTTTATTTATTTTTTTTGATTTAAAAACTTATTCAACAATTTGTTGCCTCGTAAAGCCTCGATAGAGGAAAGAAATGAAGTAGAACCCGAATTCGTTTCAAACCAAATTGACTGCGCGCAAGGTAAAACTTCCTTACATGCCTTTAAACAATGCTGAATTTTTTTTTAACACGCCTTGAAATATAAAATATCAAAAAGAATTAAGAGCCAGTGGCATAGAGAACATGAAAAAATTATGTAAATTTTTATTCCCAACGGATGATCTTGGTAGCACGGTCGCTCGTATTGCCGAAATATTACTCGATGCTGAAAACAAAGAAATATACATCAATGAATTGAGCTTGGAATTTCCACCAGAACAAGACCATCTACATCGGCTTCAAACCGCCATAACTTTACTAAATGCATTTGAGATAACGGAAATAGTCTGCGATGAAGAATTAAAAGAAGGACAAAATGAAGATAAAATGATTTTAAGATTAAAGGTCGATAGTTAAAGAAATATATACATTTACTGCGGTGTAGATAATTCTTTTGACGTAATTGATTGGTTAAACGTGATCAGGCTAATCTTTTTTTTTTTTTTATAAAAGCAAAATGTATTCTTTGCAAAAAGAAAAACCCAGAGTCATCATGTCCAATCAAGATAATAAATCAAATAATTCAAGTACGGATGCATCAAAAGATAAAGGGAAGTCAAAATCGATTTCATCAACCTTAAGTAATTCTGCAACTTTGCTTCGTGAAGCATTAAATCCTTCAAATGGAGCTAGTACAGCTAGCACCTTAAATTCTTTACTTCGACAAAATAATAATCCAAAACTACAAAGTTCATCATCTACGACATTTTTGCAACAAGGAGAATGGCAGCAAAATGTTTTAAATCAGCATTATGACGTACATAATGGTAATAATGATTATAATAATATTCATAGTCAAGTAAACGACCATGAAACTAATTGTGGGTTGGATACCGATTGGAAACGATGGAACCTTGACCCATGTCCTTCGGCAAGATCAATAAATTCTTCACATATATATCCATTTCATCATCATAATCCTCATAAAACCAATTATCAAAGTATCCAGGATGGGAATGAAATTTTAGATTTTTTAAATTCAAATAATTATACGGAACAAATATATCATGAAGATTTTAGTCAACTAACATCCAATCGACAAAAAGATTATAACTTTTTAGAAAATTGTCGAGAAGAGTATCAAGACTCGATTTCGAAAAATGATGTGAATTCAAAGTTTATTGAAGAATTTTTAGAATCCAAAGATATTCATGAATATTTATCAAGAATTTCATATACGGATGATATCTATGGTATTCCAACATTTTTAAAAGAATTAATTAACGAAGCGAAGAACGAATTAAATAATTATAGTAAACATGATGATGATGGTGATAAAGGTTTAAAACACCAAAAAACTGCTATTGAAAGATTAAAAATGGTTAGAGATCATTTATTTAATAATATAGAAAGAGAAAAATAATAATGATAGTAATTGATTATAAGATAACAGGAAATAATTATTTTTTATTTATCTTGTTTTGAAAAAAAGTTGTTTTCTTTCAAAATAAAATGAATCATATAAATCTTACAATGTATCATGATAAATACAATGATTTGTTTTATAGTTAAATTGTTTTAAAAATACAAATATATCATATCATATTATTTATATTAAAATGGAGAATCCCATAAAATACGAAATCAAGAATTCAAAAGCAAAATTAAAAATTTCATTTTCCACATCTCCCATTCAAAACCAATCCAACCAATCATCATGAATTTAAAATACCATTCCATCATTCCCATCATAGTGATGAAATTGATAATAAATATCTAAGCATTTATCTCTTTTTTTTTTTTTTAAAGTTTTTAAAAAGGAAAGGAAGAAATAAATAAATGATGTTCACCAATCGAAAATACAAACATTCTATTAAAAGAAAATGAATAATGACAGGTTTATTTAAACTTTCTTTTGGTGGGATTGGAGTGGCGATTAGTGATTCGATCAATACTCATGATATCCTCATGTTCAAATAAATGTAATTACCGTAAATTGTTTGAGGCTTTTAATTGGCTTTTTAGTTTTTTCATGGCTGTTCAAAAAAAAAATAAAAGAAAAAATGGGTGAAACGTTCAAGTGTGAATGCTAATTGATAAACATTGACACACCCTTTTTTCATTTTAAAATAATAAAAAAATTTTTTATTTTTTAAAATAGTAAAAAAAAAAATAAATAAATAAATAAACGGAAATTCCTGGAAAAGGAAATTGATCGAAAAAAAAAAACGCTTTGAATTCTTGTTGACGCAATAAAACATAATATGGATTTTCACGGGATCTGATCCTGTCAACAGTTGGATTAACAAACAAATTTTTTTTTATTTATCACATTCGGAGATATTATATTGATGTAACGATAAAGAAAGAAAAAAGAAAAAAAAAAAAAAAAGGATGAAGAAATCTCCGGTTGAATTTAGCCTTTTATGAAGGAAAAATTTTTCTGAATCATATGCATTGGGATGATATACATTTTTTTAATACTTTTTTAATGAATGTGCAGGTTTATTAATAGAAAATATTTGGGTGGTTCGTGCAACGATGATTGATAAAAAAAGATGGTCAAATGATTCCCTTTCCCATATAAAAAATTCAAAATAAAACTACAGAACACAAAGTTTAATTTGATCACAAAAATTTATAATAATAATATATGAAAAATTTTCATGTTATACATAAAATAAAAAAATTTCCGAGACACATGGTTAATATTTTTGTTTACTTTAAGTGGGATAACTTGATTTTTCTGTCCCAGCAATTTGTTCGAATCTAAAAACTTTGGTTCACAAATTGTCCGCGGATCTTTTTTTTTTTTTGGATCTTTTTTATCGTCAAAAAAAAATATCATCATGAACTCTTTTTCTTTTTTATTTTGGTCGTCAAATAAAATTTTAAAAAAATTTATCAAGAAACATCGTTGCATTTAATAAAAAAAGGTGATTTAACGTCATTTGTTAAATCCAAGATTTGTTATGACTAAATATTTATCATGATCGAAAATAGATCGAAAATTACTTTCGATCTTTACTGCGTCACCACAATAAAGAATTATTTAATATATTTCCACTTGTAAACAAAATCTAACTGCTAATGATGAAATAAAAAGTATCTTTCAAAAATACGAGTTTTTCCCCTATAAACAGTTCTAAGAATAGTCAATAATAATATGTTGTCAAAGTATTGTCTTTTTTTTTCATGTTAATTGAGTTTCTACAAACCGGATTTTTTCATCCTCCCTTATCAAAAAAAAAAACTTTCAAGTGTTGAAATATTTGGGAAACACCACAATTACTTTTAAGTCCGGATGTTTCCGTACGTTTCGTCCCATAAATGGTAAAAGATGAAATGGAATCATTTATGAAATTTTTCGATGTCGCAGATAATTTTGATTTGGGGAATAAAAGTAGAAGGTCTTTCAAAGGGGGGTTTGTTTGGCGTTGCAAACTCGCATTTTTTTAATTTTGTTCATGTGAGATTTCGGTTTTGGACACAACAATCAACTTGATTGTAAAGGAAGAAGAATTCCATTGCAGTATTCGTTTCATCATGTTTCAAAAATGAATAGAAAAAAAGATTTGACGATTAAAGTTTAGTTTTTCGGTCGTTAATTAAACTCTGTTTGGAGCACAGAACATCATTCAGTTGTGGCAAGAGAGATTTTTTTTTTTTTTTGTTAAAAGATTTCTAAAAGTGTATAATATTTATTATTTATTGTTGTTGTTATTTAATACATTTACTGCGGTCTTCCAGCTTTTATCAGGTCAAGAACCAATAACAACAAAAAGCCACGAGAATAAAAAGCCAATTCATCTCGATTTGTATAAATTAGAATTTACTTTACAATTAATACAATCATGCTTTTTTCAACGGGTAATGATGTAAACTGAAGATCAACGACCGCCATTTACCGTTCGTCCTGAATCGAAACCTGTCATTAATTTATCTTAACACTGTATAAATCATATTCTTTTTTCATTTAAAAAATGGGGATTACAAAAAGAAAATAAAAAAGATTAAAATAAAAAATAAAATAAAAACAAATAAAAAAAAATTTTTTTTTCTTTTGGTCCATCTCTAACCAACTTGAACCTTTATAAAGTTACAATTGGCGTTTTCTTTTGTAAAAACAATTTCTTTTGGTAATAGAAATTGTAATGAGATCTTTTTATTGTTACATTATCTTGGTTTTTTTTTTATTAATGATGAATCATATGGCGTATTCCCTCCTTTTTCTCCCTCTAACGTCACGAAAAAAAAAAGGAGTCATGAGAATAAAAGAAGGTTTTTTAATTCTTTAAAGAAGAGAAGAGATATTTTATCGTTTAATATGACCAAAAAGAAAAATATGGAAAAAATAAATCTTTTTTTCAGTGAAAATTATTTTTTTTTGATAAAATTCAATTTGTATCACCTTTTTTTATATGGTCAAAAATTAACAAATCAAACATGTGAAAAATAGTTATATAAAAATTCCTTAAGTAATCACATAATTAAGCATAAAATTTAAATTCTTAAATTAAAAAAATTTAGTAAATCCAAAAAAAAAAAAAAATCTCGGTTAATCCAATGGAAACTTTGATAATAACGATTTCTCAAATAATGATAGACACCACACTTGCATCTGTGAGTTTCATCTTTCTAAATCCTGCGTAAATAAACCCAAAGAAATACCGTTTTTTTTTTAATAAAAATCATTATGATAGTTCCCTAATATCGATTTAGCATCTGGTCTAACCAATAATAACTCCTTTGCCGAAAATTCTATTTGATTTGCGGTCATTCTTAGAATTTTTAAAACCTACTAAATAGCGTACACTTCACCTTTTTTTATCCCCGCTTGTATGCAAATGTCTTGCTTGTTTAATTTTCCTTGCCATGACGAAAGTTTTAGTCTGTAATAAATTCAAATAATATGAATAGATCATATTAAATCGCTGGAACGATTATTATGTATGTGTGCTGTGTGTATAAAAAAAAAATAAATTAATTATTATTTTTATTCCGGAAAAAAAATCTCTCAGTAGTCGCTGAAAAAAAATTTATCCATAAAAATTTTAACCCCAAATATAAACAAAATAACCGGTTTATTTATTGTTGAAAACAAACTATATTATTCATGAAGTATTTTTATATTTTATATTTATATATAATTTTATTTATTATGAAAAAAAATATATATATATATATATTATATTAAAATTATTATATAACATAGAACGAAATTTTTCAGTCACAAAAAAAAATACTTTCTCTCCCCATCAAATTTCTCCCCCATTCTGGCAAGTTTGCATTGATTTCTGTTACTTTTTTTTCATGACTAACTTTTTATTTTTTTTTTTATCCTACACAACTGACCTCTTGTTATGTTTGATTACTTTATTTTTCAAAAAATAACAGGTTTAAAAACTTTTATCAAAACAATATTTATATAACTAGTACACACATAACACCTTTTTTTTTAAAAAAAAGCCCACTTTTTTTTTTTTTTTCTTTTAAAAAAAAAAAAAACCCACTCCGTTTCTTTTAGTTAAAATAAATCCAAACCTCTTTTGTTCTTTTTGTTACGTGTTCTCTAACAATAATACTACGGCTACATAGTCAATAAACAAGAATAGTCTTTGGGTAAGTTGATCTCTTTTGTTCGCACCTTCATGTTTTCTTTCCCACTTGTTCCCATCAGCCGAAATAGTTTCGGGTTTCCGCGGAAGACTTTGTTTTTCTATTTTGGTTATTTTCTTTCACTTTTTTTTTGCGTTTTTTAACGCGTTGTTTGTGGATTTGGCGTTACCTCTGTGTGTCTTTGCGAGGTGAGACGTGTTTCGATCAGAAAATAACACACAACAACTCGTCTATGCGATAAACTTTTGCCAGTTTCCCCTCTCTTTCAAATTTATAAATCCTTTTTTCCGGATTATCGATCGCTCTTCACTTCACCTGCAGGTGCATAACAGTTGTTGAACGTCCGTTCTGCCGGGCGTAACCAAACAAAAACAACAAAATATGCGCATACTTATCATATGTTTATTTATCATATATATATACACTTTCCACTTGGACTCATAATTATTTTCCACGTTTAAAAAAAAAAAAAAATATTTTTTTTCCTCCTCCCTTTCTTGATTTGTTTATATTTTCATTGTTTATATTTCTTTACAGATTCCTTTAAAAACACACACACATACATTCTTTTCGTTTTATAAAATAACGTTCATAGATAAACAGATCTTTACGCGGTTGCCAAGACTTTCAAATCAATAACAATAACATTTACCAGAGAAAATTTTTTCAAAGCCTTTGCAAATCAAACAGAAAAAAAAAAAAACGAAATATTTAAACTGTTATTATTTTATTATTATTTTTTTTTATATTTTCCTTGTTCAACAATAATTCATAGGCGAGACATATACCACATTCCATTATCATTTATCATCGGCAAATTTTCCAAAAAAAAATGTCACCAGAACCAACGAGCGTTGCCGCTCTTTCACGTACAAGTGATCTTTTCGCAAGTCATTGTCTTTTATTCCCCAAAGAATATGGTTATACTAAATCAATGCAATCAACAACAGATAAGAGAACAAGAACAAGTTCGCCTTATTTAACTTTATCATCCAACAATAATAATCACTCATCAACTACGTCAGAAGCACAAGATCAGGATGTTCGTCGCATTCAGCGTCAGTGTCAGGGTTTAAATGGAATTCACAATATGAACAATTCACTGTCTCAACCTCTTCATCAATCATCGTCATCTGTTGATGTGAATCGTGATAGACTAGGTGCGGAGATACATGTAGAACGTAGTTCGCTTGATAAAGAACGAGGGTCATTGGATTTATTGGTTACTGCGGCTTCTACCTTGAACATCGCGGATTCGGAAAATTCAAACACAGTGGTATGTAACATTTCCCAGTCAATCACAAACAAACAAACAAATTCTATTGTGCTTCGTGACCATTTGTAAAAGTGTGACATAAACGGTAATCTTCATAACAACCGACCACTCAAAAGGGGACATGATCGATCATTTCGCCAACATTTGGATCACGAATTTTGTTACAGTGTAATGTTTATGATTTGTCATTAACAAAAGAAAAATCTCGTGAAAATATCTTTTTTTAGACGACAAGCAAAACAAGTCCTGTGGCTTCGGTGGTTGACCTTGTAAGTCACTTTGTTTATAATGACATGTGCACATGTGTTTGTGTACAATCATGTATTTTTATCATTATTCTGTTTTTTTTAAAAAAAATTTTTTATTATTAATTATTTCCTTTGATTAATCATTAATAATAGAGGCTGGAGCGGAAGAGGTTGGAACACGAACGTCAGCGCCATGAACAGCGCCAGTTGTTTGAAGAAAGGATGAAAATGCTTGAACTTCAGCAGCTCGAAGAGGAACGAGATTTATTAGAAAATCATACTCTTATCGTACCAGCCGCAAGCGCAAGTGCTCCGAATACACCACCTTCTTTAGTAACGAATGATACTCGGGCTCGATCCAACACGGTGCCGAGATTAAACAATACATCAGTGGGAAGCCTGATTCCAAACGCCACTCAATTCGATTCTTCCCACGCCGCTGAATCATTGTCTGTTCAACATAGATCAAATTCTTCGTCCAGATCTGTACCAAATTCTCGACGTAATTCAAATGAATCCTCACATGCTTCTAGAGAAGAAAAACTGAACAAGACAGGCAAAACTTTCGAACATTTCGAGTATGTGTTTTTTAATGTTGTTGATATGAATTTTTTTTTTTTGACAAGTGCGTTGATCAATTCCGCTCTTGTTTTTCCAAATTCGTAGGAAAGAATTACGTGCTTCTATCGGTTCAATGCCGCAACGTAGGGATGTGATGTCAATTAATGCATCAAACAGTGATAACTCGATCTTCCCACAGTTCAATGGAAATTTTTTGCTTGATGAAGAAGGGACAACTCACCCCATGTCTTCGTCGTGCGTTTGTCGTTACCTGCAAATGCATACGGACGATGACAAGTTTCCAATTTTGGTTCGTCGTGATAGTTACCCGGGTATGGTATGTATTGGAGGGTTCTCTTACTTTCTTTTATGCCATTTGATGATGCACTCTGTTATTCACCTACTTTGTGCGTATCCCATACAAAAATTCCAGTTGTCCGCATCATCTGCAGCACTTGATCTTGCACCTTTACCTCAGTCCACATCGCGCCATCGCGCTTTGGATTCGAGTGATAGAAAGAAATTGGACAACCTGACCGTAGATAATAATAACATATCAACGGCAAAGCAACGAGTTCCCAAATTATCAACTTCGTATTCAACACCAGATTTGGCTAGCGCGACTAGATTATTTGGACGTCGTTCAGCGAATTTTAATGCAAGCACCGCCAACGACGTACTTTTAGAAGATGATGATCAGGTTAACCATCCCGCACAATTACCAACCGTTACCTCTGGGGATGTCAGCGGAAGCAACGTTTGTCGTTTCTATCAACAAGGGTATTGTCAACGTGGAGATCGATGTTCTTATTCGCACACGTTTAATGGGTTAGGACAGGTCAACTTGAATCTTCCGGCTCAAATAACGGGAGGATTTCCTGGTGTTTCGCAACCGATGAATAATAATAATAACGCTTTCTACAATCAGTATGGAATTTCTGGTATCGGTGGGGTGAACATTTTACCCACGACAGCTGGATTAAATTACAATCAAAACTTGGCTCTTAACGTAGCACTAAATAGAAATATGAACTTAATGCAAGCGAGTAACGTGGGCCTTTCCAAGATGAGTCAGAAGAGGATGAGCGGCGATCTCGAAGGTAAATATGTCGCAATCAAGTGAAATTGACCGTTCTCGAATCACGGCTATTTTATACTCACGCATATTTTTTTTATAAAAAAATAGTGAACAGATTTGCTGGTGTTATGTTGGAAGATCTGGTGGGTGAGATTTATCCTCTTTGTAAAGATCAGCATGGCTGTAGATATCTCCAAAAGAAACTCGAAGAAAAAAATGAACAATACATTGGGATGATCTTCAACGAGGTCTTCAGTCACTTCGTTGAATTAATGACAGGTAATTTGAATGAAATGGGTTCATTTTTATCAATTCTCCTTGACAATGAAAGTGCCTCGAATTAATTTCTCGTCTCCAAAATAACCGTTAGATCCTTTTGGAAACTATCTTTGTCAAAAACTCCTCGAGTACTGTAATGATAATCAACGTACGATAATTATAGAGACTGTGGCGCCAGAATTAGTGAACATCTCGCTAAATATGCATGGTACTCGTGCTGTCCAGAAAATGATTGAATTCTTGTCAACACCTCAGCAGGTATTTTGATTTCGTGGTTTCGCTCTTTTTAAAATGTTTAACCCTTTACTACCACCCTAAGATTTACATAATGACAGATCCATCCAAATTATGCGTTAAAAAAACAGATCTGCCTCGTGATCGTTGCTCTCAATCCAAACGTCGTGACTCTGATAAAAGACTTGAATGGCAATCACGTTATTCAAAAATGCCTGAATCGTTTGAGTTCCGAGGATAATCAGGTAGGTTATAAAAGGTCGCGTGACATTTACACCTATCGATGCGTATGAATTAAACCATTTCTCGATTTCACTCTAGTTCATCTACAATGCCGTGAGCAAGAATTGTATTGAAGTGGCTACGCACCGTCACGGGTGCTGTGTGTTGCAACGTTGCATCGATCACGCTTCTGAAGCTCAAAAAGTTCAGCTCGTTACGGAAATCACGTATCATGCACTTACATTGGTTCAGGTAACGAACGACGTCATGAGTTGAGCGATTTACTAAGAAATAAAATCTAACATCTTTTTTTTTTTGATCCTCTTAGGATCCATTTGGAAATTATGTCGTACAATACGTTTTGGACCTTGGAGACAGTCGATTCACGGACGCTCTTATTCGTAAATTCATTAGCAACGTGTGTGGTTTATCGGTACAAAAGTTTAGTTCCAATGTGATGGAAAAGGTAGGATTGAAACTTTCTCTCTCTCGTTTATTTGTCGTTTGACTTTATGCGCGTACATTAAATCATTTATGCCCAATTATTGATTCGCGATCCACAGTGCATAAGGGTCGCAGAACCAGACACGCGAAAGTTTTTGATCGATGAAATGCTTAACAAGAACCGGCTAGACAAGCTGTTGCGCGATTCCTATGCTAATTACGTGGTTCAGACAGCCTTGGACTATGCTGATCCGCTCCAACGTGCTTCAGTGAGTGTGATATTACAAAAAGAATGTATTACTATTATTATTCACGGTATTTGTAATTTTTTAACGATTTTTTTTTTAAATTCGTAGCTGGTTGATTGTATTCGACCTCTTTTACCTGCCATTCGCAACACTCCATACGGCAAGCGTATTCAAGGGAAACTACACCGCGAAGTTATGCAGTTGAACTCGCTCAACATGCTAAGAATACCATTACATGGTTTAGGCAATCTTGGCAATTTTACTGGCAATTTTGGTGGCAGCATGGGCGGTGGTTTAATTGGTATGAACGACTACCAAACACCAAGCTATCATTACATCTAAGAATGAAAATGAAATTATTCGCATTTTTGTTTTTTTATATATATCTCTCTTCTTTTTTCACAATTATATATTCTTTTCTCTCTTATTTTTATATTACTATCCTATATTCCGGAGGGAAAAAGACAATCTGTGATTTATTTCACACTTTTGTATTAATTCCCCTTTATGATCTGTATTTTTTTTTTCACCAGTTAGACTTGCGTGGCGGAGGTACATTGTATCATATATATATATTTTTATATATATACACAACGACGCCTCACATGTTTACACTTTATACAATGTATTTGTGATTCCCTTGTGAAAAAAAAAAGGCTGTTTTGTAATGGTAGCTTTACATGTATTTTCCATCCGCGCACAAGAGATAATCTTAAATTTTTTTTTAGCACAAATTATTATAAATTACAACAAAAATTTTTATTCTTTATTCATTTCCCTCACATTATTTTTCTACTTGTAGTAGTACCTTTTCTATTCCCTAACCCTTACCCCGCACGTCAATGATGTAGTTACATTCATTTTCGGAACATTAGATATTATCTTCACATGTTCTGTACTTTTCGTTGTATTTATAACAAAAATATTCTTACAATTTCATTATTTTTATTCTTTTATACCCCTATATACAAATAAATTTTTCGTATATTATTTTTTTTTTTATATATTAGGTACATTTATTATCATTCTGTACTTTATTTTTTCTTTCAATTCTTTTTTTCTCTGTATTTTTTTTTTTTTTTTTTTTTTTTTTAAAAAAAAAGAAAAAAGTTGACTATTTTGCTATTTGCTATTACTAAGTGAATTGTTTTGTTTTTGAAATATGAAATGAAAAAAATATATATATATATATACTTTGTTTTTTTTTAAAAAAAAAAAAAACGGAAAAAAAAAAATTGTTTTTAAAAAAAAAAAAGTAATAATAATAAGAAAAAAAAAAAAAAACTACAAAAACCAAAAAAAAAAAAAAAAAACCCCACCCCCCCCCCCAAAAAAAAACAAAAGACAAAAAAAAAAACCCCCCCCCCCCCATTATATATAATTAATCGATTCTAAGAAAAAAAAATATATATATAAATTGTTAAATATTTTCTAAAAAAAATTCGAAAAAAAAAAAAATAAAAACAAAACATCATCCTAAAATAGTCATGATGTTTAAAAGATCGTCATCAACTCCCGTTAGATCTGTTGTCCCCGTAATCGAAGAGCCAATATCCCAATATCAGCAACCATTACGACCTGGACCATTGTCTCTGCCAATCACATTGCCTTTCAATATCGGCTCAACTATTGTTAATCCCATAGACGGCTCGGCATATCAATTGATCAAACCTCTTGGTAACGGATCCTATGCTGTGGTGTACTTGGTGCGAGAGAAGAACACTGGCAATTTTTACGCTCTCAAATGTTTGTCAAAGGCAAACTTATCGGATTATCATTTAGAGATACAGCATAATGAGGTATGAGGTGAAATAATACGATCTTATTCAAAAATGTGATGGTATATGCTAATTCAATTTTGTTTTATCGCATGATTAGGTACGCCTCCATGAGCGATTATCACATCCTAATATCGTGAAACTTGATAATTATTTCGAAACACCTGATTGGCTCTTCCTTGTACTCGAATATTGCGAAGGTCAAGATTTATATTATTGGTTGACACAGAATAATGATGGCAGAAATCCTTTGACCGGCACGCTCCTATCAGAGAAAGAACGTATGGTAATATTGAAACAGGTCTTTCTGCAGATATTAAGTGCGGTCGGCTATTGTCATATGAAAGGCATCGCTCACAGAGATCTCAAGCCAGAGAATTTTATTGTTATGGTCAAGAATGATAATGAATTTAAGGGTGTTCAAGTTAAGTTGACGGATTTCGGATTGGCGACCGACGAAAAGGAATCGACGGATTTCGACTGTGGATCTAAACCTTACATGAGCTATGGTTGGTTAACCGAAAAAATAAGATTTTCTTTTGATTTCTATAAAAAAAAAAAAAACTAAAATAAAAATATTGATCACTTTGAATTTTTAGAGTGTCGAAATGCTATGCACGATACATATAATCCACGTCTAGCTGATATATGGTCGCTAGGAATCATACTTATTAACCTGTTATACCATCGTTCACCATGGGCTGATCCTAATCCGAAAGAATGTAAAACGTTCGTTACATTTCAGCTTGACAAGGCCGGTTTCTTGATGCAAAGGTTCCCAACTATGCCAAAAAATGTTGCACAATTCTTGGCTTCTCGCGTATTTTGCAACGTGGGGAGGGGACGAATTGATATCATGGAATGGAAGAATTGGTGCGACAGATTGGTCGAGAGAATGTTGTTAGATGAGAATGAACTTGAAGATGTGTTTGATGATCAAGAACTTTCGTCATCAATTTCTAGAGGAAGTTCGTCTAGTTCTCAGAGACGACAAGGACACGACCGTCATCAATCATGGTCAGATGTGTTCGGAGATTTTGAAAATGAAATAGCACTAAGCAGGCATAGTAGTCGTCGTTCTTCATTGTATAGATCGCCACAAAACACCAAATTGGTTGAAACCAAGTTAAGATTCGCCGAGAAAGATGAATATGAAAACCAAGCGGATAACGCCAATAACAGTGACGCGGACTCCGGTTTTGGCACAGATGAGGATGGTAATGGTAACATTATCAAGAGGCTTAAAGAATGCGTCGGAGCAGAAGCTTCCGATGAAAATATCAATCCCGCCAAAGCGCCTTTATCCGTATCTCCCCCAAAGGTGATATTTTGCAAGCCTAAACCCTGGGGTGATTATAGATCTCGTGGACATCAACGAGAAGGTTCAACCGATAATGTCCCAACTACCTCCAATACAACAATTAACAGCCATTGGTCTTCTTATAACCAACGTCGTGAACGCTTGGAACAGAGACGCAAGGAAAAACAAGAACAGACATTGAACTCTTTGGGCGCTTACAGGCGGCGTGGCTCATTGAATTTAGATACGAATGATTCTGGTCGTCTCACTGCCGATAATAATAATACTACGGTTACTCGTAAGAGTCCTCAACGTCCTTCAAATATGAACCAAGAAAGCGCTTATACCACTCCTCCAAAGCGAAATGCGCCACCAACACGACCGCCACTTCGCAAGAAAAGTACTCGGTCCATTAATAACTTTCCTTTGGCGTCTTCCCCTCCAAAGCCATCGGTCGCTGCTTTTCAATCAACATCTTTTCCTTCTACATCTAATGATAATAAAGCGATCATTAACACGCCAAAGCAGTATTTCCCAAAGTCTGTTGATAAAACTCCAAAGAAAGTTGGAAAGTCCACTAAGAATCACTTGGGGAAAATGTTGGCGGGAGTTGTCATGTTTAACCGTGGTGTTAAAGTTGGCGGACAAGCTATCAATGAATATGGTGATTAATAAATAAATTTAAGAACGATTAAACTTTTCACTGTTTTAGCTGTTTTTGTATTACTTTCTTGCTCTGTAAATTTTTTTTTTTTTTTAATATCAAGTTTGAATAATAATTGAATAATAGGAAGTTCCTTAAATTATTGACAATTTC